GCTTCATCCAGAATGGCAAACAGGTGGCCAGGGCAGCAGTGACCACTGAAAAGGAGGTACTCTGGGTTAAGCAGTTAGAGCCTGGCACCTCTGCCCAAAAGGCGGAGCTCATTGCTTTGACTGAGGTGCTAAAACTAGCCACGGGAAAGAGGGTAAACATCTATACTGACAGTAGATATGCTTTTGCTACTGTACATGTACATGGAGCCACCTATCAGGAGCGAGGTCTCTTAACCTTAGCTGGGACTAAGATAAAAAAGTGCTCTACAGATCCTAGACTTGCTGGCAGCAGTCTGGCTGCCTCCGTGGCTTGCTGTTATTCACCCTAGGGAACAATTTGGCAGATCAGGCTGCTTGAAAAATAGCCACTACATCAGAGGGGTAAACCGAGGAGGTAACTGCTCTGATGTTGGTTTCTCCCACTTTATCAGAACTGGTCTACATAGAGAAGGACCTGCAGTTAGCATCTCAACTTGGAGTGAAGTCCCCCAACCCAGGGGGCTGGTACCAGTTACCTGATAAACGAGTATTGTTACTGAAGGCACTGGGGCGGGAGCTGTTACACCAGGTTCACACCAAACTACACATTTAGGGCGAACTAAACTTGCTAAATTGTTCAAAACTCGGTTTTTTATTCCAAAACTCTCCAAACTGACTGCCTCTTTGAGCTCCAGATGCGCACAATGCTTGTTAGTCAACTCAGCCAAGAGCTCTGCACTGGAGACCACCTGACATCGAGGAATTGTTCCAGGAGAACATTGGGATGTAGACTTCACAGACATGGTAAAGCTTGGTTTACAGGGGCACTGCTGTCTCTCGGTATTAGCAGATACCTTCACTGGCTGGATAGAGGCTTTCCCTACTAAGTCCAAGTCAGCCTTAGTGGTAGTTAAAAAGCTATTGCATGAGATCGTACCTCGATTTGGCCTCCCACTATCAATGGGGTCCAATAATGTTCCAGCTTTCATAGCCCAAGTCACCCAAAGGTTAACCCAGGCATTAAAGATTAATTGGAAACTCCACTGTGCCTATTGGTCACAAAGCTCAGGGCAAGTAGAATGTATGAACCAAACTCTTAAGGACACTTTAGCTAAGCTGTCTTTAGAAACTGGCGATAATTGGGTGAGCTTTCTTCCCTTTGCTCTGCTGCGAGCTAGATGTACCCATATGTTTCTGGAATTTCCCCCTTTGAAGCTATGTTCAGAAGGCCCCCTCCACTGGTCCCGAGACTATCAGAGGACAAATTAGTTGAAATAACTAACCAAGATCTCATTAAGTCCCTGCAGACACTCCAGCCTGTGTTGACCTTGATCCACCAGCTGTTTAGACAAAAACATCCAGACCTGCCTTTGAGAGGCCACTCAAAGCACCCATCAAGCCAGAAACTTCTGTCCTGGTGCGACATCACAATCAAGACTCTCTCAAACCCTGCTGGAAAGGACCCTTCACTGTGGTGCTCAGTACCCACACTGCCATCAAGGTAGCAGGAAAAACTGTGTGGATTCACCATACTGGAAAGAGCGGACAAGGAGGGACATAATCAGTGGACTATACAACAGACTTGAAGGTAACCTCTTGAAGTTAAAACTGACTAAACATAGGTAGATTAAACCAGTCATGAACTACTTTAGCTTGCTTACTTTTGCTCCTTCTATCTCACTGCAGGGGATTTTAATAACATTGATGCCGACTTTGCACGGTGGCTTTGGTCCCCCATAAGCAAAGAACAATTGCTGAAATCTTTGTATGGGAGCCCCTGTGATTGGGGAAGGGGCTATACTAAAGGTGAAGACACCGACTGGGGGGGAATTATACATACAATAGGAAAAAAAGGATCATGATCCTTCCCACATAAATGATAAATTATATAATATAGTCTTCGGACAGATTGTGGGGACAAGTTAGCATTCCTTGTTGCTATACCCTCAGGTACAAGGGGTTTGACTCAAATGTGGATGTGTAAGTTAAAGTCCTGCGTGATACCTAACAAAGGCAGCCAGCCAGGGCCATGGCCTCAGAATTGTTCTTATTAAAAAATAATATTTCCCCAGATACATTACCACCACTTGATGCTGCCTAAATCGCGGGGAGTTGATCTGGATGCTCAAACTTCTGATATTCTAAAAGCCACTCATAAAGACTTAAATGCTTCCAACCCAACTTTGGCTGAAGATTGCTGGTTATGCATGGCACAGGGCTCCTCCATGCCTCTTGCGATTCCCACCAATGTTTCTCTGACCACGCTGGAGGACAAAGATTACTTAAATTGTAGTGCTGCCCCACCCTTTAGAGTACAACCCATAGGCTTCAAGGACTCTCCCTGTCTCCAAGAAGGTTTTCGTAATGATACCTCCGACATTGATGTGGGGTTTGTTGCATTTACTAACTGTAGCTCCATAGTTAACCAGACTACCTCCCTTTATCCCGCCAAAGGACAAGTATTTATTTGCCGAGGAAATACGGCCTAAACTTTCCTCCCAACTAACTGGCCAAGGATTTGGCCTCACTCACAACATCAGAGGGGAATATTGTAACCTAGCTCTAACCATTGTGCCTCCTTTCTGTTCTACATGTGCCATTTCAACAGATCTCCAGTAAAGACTTAAGTTTCAGCTCCTTGTAAATCCCCCTCCCCTCCCCATTCTTTTTAGGTTAAGTAAACTTTAAGTTTCAGTTTCTTGTAATTCCCCCACCCCCCTCAGCCTATCTGCAATACAATGTGCTGTCCTCAAGAAACATTTAACTACAAGGAAGTTATCAAACTGGGTCAAAGTTCACAACATTCCTGTGGTTTTCGGCTTTAAAACCCAACCCTTTTTGCTGTAAGGTGTGCAGTCTCCATTTTGGCTCCTGGAGGCTGTGTCACCAGGCCTGGCCTAAAATAAAGCCTTTGCTCACCAAATTTTAATTTCTTGCTTCCTTGGGTTTTATTCTGGGGTCTGAGCTATCACAATGTTATTTTGAAAACACCTACAAATAAATTGTGTTAGTTTTGCACTTTGGGGTTTGGAAGAAGATGATTCCATGGCACAAAAGGGGACCACTGTCAGAAATCTAGAATGCCAGTAGCCAGCAGCATCTTGGAAACTTCACATTAACTTGTCTCCAAAAATTTTAATGATGAGTGTTCAGGCTAGCAGAGTATTTCTTCCAAGGATGCCCTGAAGAGACTGTGCATTAGGGCCAAATCACACACTGATGGTGCAGTATGTAAGCCCTCTAATCATTTATCTCTTCCTATTTGTGACTAAGCCATATCAAAGAACAGTTTCTTCTTAGAGTTTAGTCAGATTGATTGAAATTGAACTACAGGTTGAATGTGATTATGCCATGAATTTTATATTTTCTATTGTTTATAAATCACAATGAAGCTTAAAGTGATGTTCTTAGTATGGTCTTAATTTGCAGTTCCTGGTCCCCAGACACTGCAAAATTAAATTGATTCAGTGAAGATCTGTGATCTACAACATCTTTGCAAATCAAAATCAACAATCTACCTCTATTTTCCTTGTGGTATGTGGCACTGCATTGGCCAAATCACCATGATATATATATATATATATATATATATATATATATATATATATCATCTAGCCTATTCTTCCAGCAAGTTTTCTTACAAATATAGACATGTTGATCAAGAATATATGCATTGAAAACAAAACTGTGTTCCAGATCTCCCAAATCAAGTTCAAAACCAGTAGCTTTATTTGGAGAGATCTAGATTACCTGCTCAATTTTAGAAAAATCCCTTTGCTGTAAAACACTCCCACCAGGATCAAATCAAAAGACATACAAAATTTGGAAGCAGAAACTCCTCTATTTTAACTTTAGAGTACATTTAGTACTATAGTACGGTACTGCTTATTTCAGCAAACCAAAATTCTATTAGTGTACTATAAGGCATTGTCCATCGCAGTTGAGAAAATACTTATTTGGACCCTATTTGTGATTAGATTAAGAATGACTAATCAGGAAACAGTGACAATGAAACTGTGGCCCGCTGCTTAATTCTTTTACTTTAAAAGTCTGTATGGTAGAAGATGTATTTTGCTCCATCTCTATGTGACTGTTGAGCAAAGGTATATCCAGGGTGTGTGGTTATAATATACAAACCTCTAAGAAACTACTGTTTATGACTGACTTCTGATAACTGCAGACCCTAAGAAACATGCAATATCATATGATTCATGACCCTAAAAAAGTACCAAGTTGAGAAACATAATGTTTCTTTCAGCCAATGTCTAACCCTAAGTGATTTCAAAGCAAAATTAAGAAATGCTTTTACCTCTTGCCATGGTTTCACACTTGTTATCTTCTAAGACAAGCAACATTTAGGTCAGTTTTCTGTATTTCTGGTATGATGTTTACACTCACTTTATAATATCACTATGACATTGATTAATATGCTTCACAACTTCTAATTGCCTAAAAGAAGGCAACCACTATTAGCACTTAAGAATGTAAGATCGTCAATACTATACCAACTGTGCTCTATATCACTATTAAAGTTATTTAATAAGCTTGTTTTTTTCCTTTGCCAGTTTTCACTCTATATGCAAAATTTTATATAACCAAATCTTGTTATTTCACTTCCTTTGCAACTGCCAGTAATTGACTGTTTGCATCACTGAAATTTTATTTCTAATATAATCGCTTCTATAATTAGATTTAGAAACTTATTTCAATGTCAAACAGAACCCTAACTTGTTAGTAGATTTTAAGAGGCTAATTATGCTTGAAGAAATGAAAAGATATAGACTACCTAAAATAATTAGAAAATCAAGAAGTTACAAAACTGCTTTTCAAATTCCAAATCTTTCTGTAAAATCTATTTTATGCAAATAGCTTCATACTAGCATAGATAGACATCAGAAATTTATTAGTGGAACTAACAGAAGTTTCCAATGTAGAAACTCATTGTCTTGGTTACTTTTTACTCATCGCTGAGACAAAATACCTGAAGCCCAAAGCTGGGAAAGGAAAGGTTTATTTCTTACAGTTTTTGGAGGTTTCAGTTCACACTCAGTTGGCTCCCAGGCAGGTGGGCATGACTGGGCCACCTTTCATGGCGGCTGCAAAGAGCAAGCTGGAACCAGCAAAGAGCAAGACACACCTTCCTGCCATTACATCACATCCTGGCTCCACCCCTCAGTGGGTGGAGCACTGACACCATCAATCCAAGCACTAGACAATGAACCAATCACAAATGCAAAATGCAACCTCATGAGGCCTGGGGGACACAGACATAAACCATGACATTCCACCCCTGGCCCCCAGGACTCATGTACACCCTTTATACAAAAGACATTTAGTCCACCTCCAAGAGTTGCCAAAGTCCTAAGTTTCAGCATTGCTGAACAGTCCAAGTCCCAAATTTCCTCCAAGATCTATGGCAAACTCTTAACTGTAAGCCCCTGTACAAACAAAACAAGGTTAAACATTTCTGAAATGCAAAGGCACAAGATAAACATTACCATTCCAAAAGTTACAAACAGGGGGAATATAAAGCATTGGAAACAAACAAAGCAAGTCCAACATCCAGCAGGGCAAACATTAAGTCCTAGAGTTCCATGCTCAGCATCTGAAGCAAACTGGTTGCAAGCTCCAAAAGGCTTGGGTGATTCCACCTCCATGGCACTTCCAGGGGTATCAGGTCCCGCAGCTTCTCTTTTAAATCCTCTCTGCTTGCTTTTTGCGCTTTCCTTGGATCGTCCACATTCCTGGCTTTTCCAAACTTCTGGGGTCTCCACTTCATCTTTGGCTTCACACTTACATCTTCACAAATTGCCCTCTCAGGGGCACACTGCTTGGCCTCCCAGGCCCTTTGCAATCAAGTTGGAAGCCATTTTACCCTCAGAATTCGTGCATTTTTCTTGCACCTAAAATCAGCACCTTGTGGATGCCGCCAAGGTTTGCTGTTAGCTGAAGCAGTAACCAGGCTATTCTCTCTCTTGGCTGTAGGGGTCAGTTGCCTAGATCACAGGGCTCTGTTTACCTGATTGTGATGTAAAGCTTCTCTGTGTTGCCACCATTCTGGAAACTCATGTGGCCTCTGTCACCATTCTGGAACCTCACTTGGCCTCTGTCGCCATTCTGGAGCATGGCACTGTGTAGCTTTTTTCTATGAGCAAATTATTTCACCCTTGACTTGAGGCTCCAATTTTGGGGACCTGCTTCTTGGGATCCCCCGGGGCCATCTTTCTTATCTCTCTGTTTCCCATCAACAATCAAAACCTCAACTCTGTCTTTACAATCCACAGCCTTCCTGAAATTTTCCTTCTGGCCAAATTCACAGCATTTTAAATTATCCTGCTGGGCTCTTTGCTCTTGATTTGAAACATACAGCTGGCTAAAAGCCCCCAACAATAGCCATGCCATGGCCTCAAGTTTTGATTGCTTTTTAATTTCTTCTTCAAGATTAATCAGTCCATTGCCCTTTGTCTCAGTCTCAGGCAAAGTCTCTGGGCAGGAGCAAAGTGCAGACAAACTTTCTGCCAAGCCAAAACACACATCATGTGGAGTCCAATGACCAATGCAGTCCTTCGTCCCAGCAGAAACCTCCCAAGCCTGGTCTTTAGCATCAGGTTTTCTATCAGCCTTTTGGTGTCCTGAGTTCTGACCAAAATCTCCTCTACAGAACAGCCTAAGCTTCTCCAGCTCTACACATCCAGGCGACATGTCTGATCCTTTCCAAACTCTGCCCACAAGCCATTTCTAAAGCCTCTTGAAAAACATGGCCAGGTATAGTCACAGCAAACGACCCCACTCTCAGTACCAAATTCTGTCTCGGTTACTTTTTACACATCCCTGAGACAAAATACCTGAAGCCCAAAGTTGGGAAAGGAAAGGTTTATTTCTTACAGTTTTTGGAGGTTTCAGTCCACACTCAGTTGGCTCCCAGGCAGGCAGGCATGGCTGGGCTGCCTTTCATGGTGGCTGCAAACAGCAAGCTGGAACCAGCAAAGAGCAAGACACACCTTCTTCCTGGCATTACATCACATCCTGGCTCCCCCCCTATGTGGGTGGAGCACTGACACCATCAATCCAATCACTATACAATGAACCATCAAAAATGAACAGGGCAAACTCATGCGGCCTGGGGGACACACATAAACCATGACTCTCATTCATATATGAGACTAAGATAGTTAAGTTAGAGAAATGTTTTTTGGGAAAAATTATCTGAAAAATGTGAATATCTGCATTCATGTATATATTTCTATATAATTGTATATGTATTCATGCGCATGTACACATGCGTGTCTATATGCATGTATGGATGTTTCAAATTATTCACAAAACTAAATTACAATGAGAATAAAAACTATGCTACTTCTAAGGTAAGCATAGGTTAAATATTCTTGTGACTGTGAATTAGGTCAGTAGACTTAGAAATTACATACAAATAAAGACATAATTAAACACATACATTGAATTTCACTCAAATTAATAATTTCTTATCCAAAAGAGACTTTTGAATGGGCAAGCAACAGACCAGAAACAAGCAAAATATTTACTGATTAGTAAATACACAAAGCAGTTTTGTATTCTACATAATGGAATAAATTTCCAAAATAAAACAAACTACTGATGTACACAGCCATACATATGAATCTCAAAAAGCAATCAGTGTGAAAGAAGTGAGACTCGTTGCTCCCTACATTAGATTGTGATCATAGACAAGACAATGTTTTAGTTACAGAAGATAGACTGGTGGCTAGTAGGTCCTAAGTATTATAGGGAACGAAATATGACAAAAAGTCATGAGGGGACATTGGGATAAAATGGAAATAAACTTTATTGTGGTACTGGTTCCTTGAGGTATATACTTGTGAAAACTCTTGGGATTATGTGCTTAAAATTGGCATATTTGTTACTTTGAAAGACAGTTGTTCAATAAAACTGATTAAACAATGCCCAATGAAAAAGATTTGATGTGTATATATAAGAACCAATGTGAATAAAATATAAGTAATTTTTCAATTCATTGTATATATTTCTAGAAGAACATGAGAGCCTTGACTATTGTTGTTGGTGACTGGAGGTCATTGCACAAATAAGATTTCCATTCTTGCTAAATAGGCAACAAATATCCATTAATGAAAATCCGTGTTATATCTGAAATCAGCTTTAGAGCTGGGGATTTAGCTCAGCGGTGCCTGGCAAGTGCAAGGTTGTGAGTCCAAACTTCGGTACCAAAATAAGAAATCAGGTTTAGAAGGGCAATAGAGCAGGTGAATTAACAGTGGCCACAGTTTGGGATGCAGAAAAAAAATAACAGAACTGCTGCCATAGAAGACACTTGTGCAAATATGTTTAAAGGGTAAAGAAGATAAATACTATGAGAAACCAATTAAAGCCTATACAGAAGCACCGACACAAGGGTATAGCATAATTTTGTTTCCCTTCAGTAATTTCTGAATAGCCAATTAGAATAATTATAATTAATAAGTAAGGACCTCAGCACTGCCTGGCTGTCTGGTAGTGAAGTATGTCTGCTTATTCTTCCTCCCAAAAGAAGTTTACAACTCAAAAGATTCTGCCATATGGAAAGCTATGAAGCAATGCCTTGAAGACTCTGTGGACCATGTCAGGTTAAAAAATATAAATGATGGTACATAACAATTCAGTGCTTGCCCTAAATCCAATAGCAGAAGGTTAAACATGTGCACTATTCCACATAAGATGAAGAAAAAAGCCATTGACCTTGGTTAGATTGTAAATAGTATCATATTCTCTTGGTTAAGGGTCACCTTAACCACTGTGACCCTCCTGACTTATTCAGTAAGCACTTACGTAAAAGGGGTTTTTCTGCCTACTCACAACTCAGATTCTTGGACCAGACCCACACTCTACAGTTTGCCACTATTTTCATAAACCCTATTCCTCTACCATTCTTACCATTTCCTTGCAATACAGCATAAGATAACAGCTTCTTGGTCTTGATTTTGATTTTTCCCTTGTGTGTTCTGTATTTGAATATTGGTATCCACTGCTGTAGCTTTTGTGGTAACCAAAGAATAGTTTATAGTCAGCCGTACTACTTCTATCCTGGGAGTAGAATTAGTCAGGGTTAATCAAGCTTTCATTGTTTGGTGTACATGCGACAATAGAATGAATAATTGTGATTATTTTATATTATTCATTACATTTTCAACCAGGCTCAGAAATAATACCGTCTTGACAGTATAAAAAGTGTAATATAGTAAACAGTAAAATGGTTCAGTATTGTTAAAACTATGTAAAGGAATGGCATATTTTCAGAGCCTAAGGAAGATTTAAAGATACTACCCCAATTCAAAAGGAATTGTAACAAATACCTTGAACAAGCAAAATGCTATCATAAATCATTTATTTATTTGATTTTGACTTTGTCATCAGAAAACATTTATTTACCAGGTTTCAGCTTTATTGAATTTAGGTATTTTTGCCTTACCTCCAAGAATGACATAGACCTCATGGTTTATCTGATCAACCTTATATGGTACAAGTTAATCTGAGAAAAATTACCATGTCCTGTTCCATGCAATCATTAAAACTCTAAATCCGATATAAAGTTAAACTCCATTTCGTCCTCTGAAGTCAATGAAATGGTTATGTTTCTTTGACTCCTTGTATTTCTGTTCCTCTTCTCCTCATTTTTTAACTAAAGGGTACACTCTGCAATTTGCAGCAAAAAGAGGAAGGAGAGACAGTAGTGTAGGAGTTTCCCCCACAAGAATACTAATACCCTGGCTCTCTGAATTTATCACTGTCTGGACTTGATGTTTGTCATCTGATTAGGGTAATTCCTATGGTTTTCATGTACCCCACATTGCTGGATTTTCTGATCTGATATTTCCTTGATAAGAGTTGTATCTACCAGGATCCTTGGAGTTTACAAATAATATGTTCAACTCTCACTAATTTCAAAAGTTTTATGCTGCAGAAGACTATTAATTAAATGGTAGGTGGAGCACAGTAGTGAGGAAGAGTGGCAACTGAAATAAACTAGGGTTACTAATGGTGAGAGTTTCTACTTCTAGGCTGGGGGGGTTAGAGAAGAGACTGACACATAAAGAAGAGAAATACTTATCAAATGGTATGCCAAGCTGAGGAACCTCAGAGAGAAAGAATCAGGGATCAAATATCCCAACCCAAACTCCCCCTGCTCCCAGATCTTCCTTTGTGGATTTCCTCTGAGAAATCCAATGGGAATGAACCTACTAAAAAGCTCTAGGGAAATATGGGTGTCTCTCTGAGATACAGATTTCCGTGCTTTTAGATACGTAATTGGAAGTGAGATGTCTGGATTAAAAGGTAGCTCTCTTTTAAATTTTTTGAGGATCATTGATACTTTTTATCAGAGCCTCTCTAGAATTTTATTTTCCAACCAAGAATGTAAAATATTCCCTTTTCTCTCTATCTTCTCTAAATGCTATCTTTTGTTAAGTAGGCACTCTGGAAGGTGTGAGACTCTGTCTTGTGGTTTTTATTTGTGTTTTCAGACATGTGGTGCCATTGAGATAGTTACGTAGACCAATGGATCAGAATGGAAAGCCCAAAATGAGCACATACATACATCATCACCTGGTGTTCAACAACGATGCCAAAGATATGCACTGGAGAAAAACCACTCTCTTCAGTAAGTATTAGTCATAAAAGGATACACACATGTATAAACAATAAATCAAATCTTAATTTTATACCATATGTAAAAATTAAACACATGTAATTGAAAAATTAATTTAAAGATCTAAATCTGTAAAGGTTTGAAAAACTCTTGATATTAATTTTGCCAATTAATTATTTGGCTGTGATACCAAAAGAAGAGGGAAAAGTAGCAAATATATTCAGATGGGGCTACATCAAATTAAATTTTTTGCATATCAAAAAATAATCTTTAGACTGCGAAGACAGGCTACAGAATGGGTGATTGTTCATGAACTATGTATTATATCACATGTTAGTTTTGAAGAGAAGTGAAAATTTCTTCACCTTAATAGCAAAACAAACTGATAAATGATCTCAAAAGTGAACATAGGACTTGAGCAGACATCTGTGAAAATAAAGCTTACATATGAATGAGCAATTTATATTTTTGCCACCGTCTGATACTATCTAGGCAGTTTTCTCTAGAGTGCTATTTTCTTATTAACATCAGAATTTTCCTCCATCTTGATATCTTTCTCTCTCTTTGCCTCTGCACGTATCAGCCTGTCCCTCTGATCTCAGCTACTTTGGGACTCTCACCAGTCCACTACCCTTTCTCAGCAAGAATTTCCCTTTGTCTTTGTTTGGTGTTTTAATAGCCATGTCTTTGTGTTAGCAGGTCTCACCATAGTAAGTACCACATGATATAAGTAGGGGTCACCCCTTACTGGGCTTAGGGGGCCAGGGGTCAGGGTGGAGTGAACTAGTAGGGGAGAGAGAGAAGGGATAAAAGACACCTGAGAGCAGAGAACTAGAGAGGCTGATTTCAAAGGAAGCATCATTTTTTATGTCTGAACTCCAACATGTTGTGGCAAATGGTTTCATGAGGTGCACAACAGTAACTTGGTTATATCCTTAGTGCATTTATTATGATGCCTTTTGCATAGCATCCCTTTTCCAACAAAGCAGATGTTATAGAACTCCACACTTTTCCTAATGCACTGACTGCTGCAAGCCGGTTGCTCCTCAAATGTAGTCCTGGTCCCCATAACCCATATAGATTTCCATGTTGCCTTTTCTTCGGAGGGAACCTTTTGAGAGGATTGTATTCATGTTTTTGTCTGGCACATAGACATCCAAGATGATTACAGCCCGTTTTCTCTCTCTCCTTAAAGAGACAGTTACACTTAGAGGGAATCACAAAGGTGTGAATGAAAAGGTCAAAGTAAACACATGTGTACGTGATCAACTTATGTTCATCAGTGGTACAATGGGTATACAATAGTGAAAAAAGCTATCTCTTGAGTAAGTATTATTCATAAAGATATACAAACGTGTGTAAACAATAAATCAAATCTTAACTTTATATCATATGCAAAAATTAAATATATAAATGTGAACTGGATTTTAAATGTAAGATCTAAA